CAGGCCCAGACAACACCACATCTCTGTTGTTTAGAATAGGCATGAAGGGGAATTCCCAAGTTATACCTTTGTCGTATAGGTAATCTTACAATATTTTCATGTTCTTTATTTTAGTTAAATAAAAGATATAAAGTGATGAATTAATACACTAGATGGTTTTATTTGAACACTTTATTATGACATCGTAAAGTGATGAATAAGAACACTAAACACATGGCTTTATTCGTAGGCCTAGAGGCTAGGTCTAGCCTAGGTATCATCGTTCGTTCGTACGTACGTTTATTGAGCGTTACGTACGTATTAGGTCAAAGGTTACCACAAATTTAACCCAACCTCTATTTTACGAATCCCCCGATTTACGTACGCCCTCTGGTCCCGTACCGTACGTAAAATCGAGGTTCTACTGTATAGCACAACTCTCAGCACCATAATAGGTCAGTACCAAATAATACAGTAGGATTACCATACCACAATTAGTCAGTACCATAATAAGTAAGTACTGGTACTATAATAGTTTTTTTTACCACAATTCAGTACCATACTAGGCACGCTAGTCACTGGTAGCCGAATACTCTCACAAAGAATGGCTGATAATTTTAATAATAATAATAATATTAATAATAATAATAATAATAATAATAATAATAATAATAATAAAACTGTAATAATAAAGGACAGTACCACAATAACTGTACTACTATAACCATACCTTGGTGTATTACAATAAAGAGGTGCTCATCATGGACTGGTTTATTGTCTTCGACCGTCTTCATTTCTACGCATGAGAGAAGTTTATCCAACTTTAGGTACTCTCCGTAATTGCACTCGCTTTCACCAGTTTTGCTGCTGTAAGATTGACCAACAAAATTGTTAGATTTAATGTATTCACAATTTACAGAAACATAAATAACACATAGTACATTGGGTACCACGCTTTTCTCCTAGTCAATAACAATTTTGCATTCTGTATACTCTTGAACTGTAAATGACATGAATTTCTTAACAATTTTGGTTGTTGTTAAACAGTTATTATTGTTTAACTGTTCATCAATAGTGAATATGAAATATTTTAATATTAAATTGGTTTAATTCCCAATATCCAAGAAGCTTTTTTTTCATGAAATGGATTCATCAGCTTCTGTTTTCTAAAGTGCCCTCAAAACTTGACCATAATTGCATAATTATTTATTGACTTTGTCGTTACTATCTTGACTTTCATCAGAAGATAATATAATTATGATAGTACTCGGGTACAATTCTAATTGACAATCACTGTCCTCTAATTAAATTTTATATCAGAAAGCATTAGTCAATATAATTTAAGTAGAGTCAAATGTATTGTACATTTAAAGCACAGTATTGGTATACATCTGTAGAAAACTATTATAGTGTGACAGATCATCATCAATTATTTAAGTCAGTTTTCTTCCCTCTTCCAAGGGGTTACTGACTGTCACTCGTTCCATGCAGCTACACCATCTCTCCACTTCTTCCTGTCTTGTGCATCATACTCCTCCAAACCAATTTTTGCACTTTCTTTCTTTTGCACTTTCTTTACATAGAATATTAATTATACAAAAGTGATCCTAGGTAAGGGAGTAAACCGAGGTCAACTGAGGATAGGTGTAACACTAAATATGAGTCAGAGTGCAAACAAAGAACAGACAAAAATCAGACCAAGACTCCAATTCAAGCTGGATATATATGAGTTTATTCTTCAAATGTGGGGAGCCCACAAGATGCAGCTTGTCCATACTCGTACTCCACCGAGACTCGTCTCCCCTAGTCTAGTCCTACAGGGCGGCCTACGAGACTATTTCCGTGGGAACATCTTATAATGTCGTATGTTGAATAGTTGAAAGGTTACACTAATCCCCCTCATGTCTTCCCAAGAAGTGTCCCACTTCTCAAACTTATGCAGAAAAAATAACAAATACATAAAGCCTACCTGTATGCATTATAATAGTATTATATTAAACATAAAGAAATACATTAAATAACATTCTGCACTGATATATTATAAGCAATCTCATTATAGATTTAGAGTATTTATCTACAGTAAGTGTTCATGAAATCAAATTTCTTTTATTTAGGTGGTTGTTCATGTGTCAATTAAATCAATTTGGTATGCAGTAATTATGATTTAAGACAGAGTTCATATGTAGCATACATATACAGGCTGCAGTGCAAAAAAAAAATATCTACCATCATTGTAGCATACGGAAGCGTATAGTACAACCCATCTTCATTTAATCCATTCGATAGTGCAGGAGCATATGAAGATATGGTGCTAATAAATCATTCAATAGCGCAGCATACGAATAGCGGAAGTGCAACAAAAAAAATATCACAATATAAATTGTCAATGCAGCAGCATACGAATAGCATAGAGCATCTAAATAAAAACAGAAACCCGACTGTATCTGTGTAGCATATGAAGAACGTACGGTACAACCTCTATCAAATAATTCCCGTAGCATAAAAATTGCATACGGTACAAAATATTGGTAATTGTAATAATAACAACATAAAAAACAATTGTCTCGTCCAAATAAATAAAAGAAATTATCTGCATACAATAATCCATGGAACTTGTAGTAGATCATTATGTGATCAAACAGAGAAATCATTGACAAGTCTTAATCAGGCACGCAAGCCGCGCAAGTAGGAATGACCCATACCAGCTAACACTAGCACCAAAACAAAAGCAAATTCTAATTTCTATAACAACATGCTTTAAAAACATTACGTGCGTGCAAGAACGTATTCAATTCCCCATAACGAAGTAAGGAAAAAAGACCCTCATTCCACTAACACTAAAACCAGAACAAAACAAATAGCTCCTATGACCACATCTGTCAAAAAAAAAACTTTTGCGCAGGTGCAGTACGAATACCTTTTACTGTCTTTTGAAGGATGCCCTCATGGTAGTACTTTTGGCGACAATAATAGGTGGATTGCGTTTTAATGAAATAACCCCAAGACCGAAAGTCCAACTAAACGTCTGAAACCAAAAATTGAGTGCCGAAGTAAATGATTATGAAGTTCTCAAGCAGATAATTGTTTTTTAAACATAGTGCAGTATAGGCAATAGACACACGATCCCACTGGAAGCTTATTTTTTCTCATGACAATAGCTGTTCACACGCACACTAGCTAAAGGTTAGCAGAATCCACATACAAAGTATACATGCTCACCCTTGCGTTCATACAAGATCACTGATATCAAGAAGATGACAGTGGGATCATTGATCAATAGGAAATTGGAAATGTGTACGTCTGATTGGTTAATGATAGAAATGTGGTCAACCTGCTAACTGATAGTGCTAACTTAACCAATTCCTCTTGCTAAGCCTCACAACACTTTGAATGTTTGTCTTGTGAATGGATTTGCCACTGAAAAAAGTAATTAAGTTTGCCGTCTAGCATACTGTATCCTCAGCCTTTGGCTTACAGTTTAAAGAAAAACTAACAAGTCATTCATAAAATCATTACATAAACCTATCAAAAAATCAATCAAACAATTTATGTACAGCACTCTATTGGAACTAGGGCACACATTATGGTGGTCGTATTAATCCTAGCCATATATTTAATGTATATCAATGAATCTAAACCATAAAATTTGTAGGATAATAGAATGGTGTCAACTTCAACTTAATTACGATTCATTTGTTTGTAAACATTAATATGTTGACAGATAAACCAATTGTACCCACTATAAAAAAAAAAGGCTGACAAACCATATTTCTCAACACCTTCTTCTTTCTCAACTTTTATTTTAAGATTCATAATATTTAATATGGATAAACACATGTCAAGTCAATAAAATCAAAGACAACAGGGTAAGCATTTGAAAGAAAACATCCTGATCTGGATCCTCAGAAAATCTTAAGAGTACTGTATATCAATCATTACATAAAGCTACAGTACAGTTGGGTATTGGAAAAGGTTAACAAGTTACAAATTGACATATCAAAGAGTGTAGAAAGTAATGGCAAGAGTTTAATCTACCCTGATTACCACGAAACACTGTAGCTTGTGCCCTATTAGAATATGAATAGAGTTCAAAATTCGAACATGCATAAACGCAGCACACCTTCAATACAAACAACTTTTAAACGTATATCACTTCTTTTGAAGGATGATCTCCAGTTTTTTGTAGCACTTTTTGAGACAGGATTCCGTTTCAAGGAAACCCTGACAGTTGGATGTCTTGCCAGTCTATACACTATTTTATCGTGTCTATTTTGAAACAGCGCCACCAACATCTTGCAAATTTTCACCAGTGGACTAGTCTGATCAGCTGGCACGTTACAAATAGAGCACCGCGCAGTACCGCCGCTAGACCTTTGATATAGCAGAAGCAGACAACACATACGATCCGATACGATACGATTTGCTAATTACTGTAGGTTATAAACATTGAAATAGCTAGACACTGCAGCTTGTGGCCTATTAAAATATGAATAGAGTTCAAAATTTGAACATGCATATACACAGCACACCTTCAATACAACAACTTTTAAATGTATATCACTTCTTTTGAAGGACGCCCTCTAGTTTATTGTAGCACTTTTTGAGATAGGATTCCGTTTCAAGGAAACCCCGACAGTTGGATGTCTTGCCAGTCTATACACTATTTTATCGTGTCTATTTTGAAACAGCGCCACCAACATCTTGCAAATTTTCACCAGTGGACTAGTCTGATCAGCTGGCACGTTACAAATAGAGCACCGCGCAGTACCGCCGCTAGACCTTTGATATAGCAGAAGCAGACAACACATACGATCCGATACGATACGATTTGCTAATTACTGTAGGTTATAAACATTGAAATAGCCTTTAAGACTTACACTTGTTTATCAACATTTCATTCTTTTTCCGTTTTAAAATATTTGTGTGCGTTAGTAATGTAGTTTTATTCTTTAATTAATCCATGATGGTAATTACACAGAGTAAAATGCTAGGCCTATTGAAGTATCCCAGTGGTAGTTTCCAGGTTCTAAGAAATTTTCATTTCAAATTTGGCGAAAATGGTGTATACGGTACTCTTTGAAGATACTGTAATTAATGAATCAGTTCATTTTAATAAACTACCATCAACCAATCAAACACAATCCACAATCCCTACCCTGTGATGAATAGTGCAATTAGTGTCATGGGTATGCAGGTTATTAGGGCCTCAGTGGAGTATGTCCCTACCCCGGAATGCATAGTTCGCTAAGGGTTGGGGTATGCAGGCTATTTAGCCCTTGCGGTATTGCGTCCCTATCCCACATGCATAGTTAGTTCAGGGTGAGATAAGCAAGTCATTCGACCTTATTGTTGTGACCTCCCTAACCCATAATGCATAGATACTGTAACATTCATTGTATGTGTTAATTGAATTGTACTGATGGCAATCAATTTTAATCATTAATTACAGTACTCTAATACCCGATTCACACATACAAAAATCTTACCAAATGTAACAAAATGTAACCAAAAGTAACATTTTACTTACGGCACGTGTGAAAGTACCTCCATGTATTATATCCTTGTAAAATCTCGGAACGTCTCTGTAATCTTTACCAGCCTCGCTGAGGCTGGTAAAGCTTCCGAGATGTAGCATGGATGGATCTGCGCATGCGCAGGGATTTCAATACAACAACAATCTACTGTGTTTCACAGGGTTCTTTGAATTTTCTTCCTTCTACAGACGATTCTGATCCACTAGAAATAGATAGGCCTAGTTTTTCTCAATGATGAATGAATTACCCTTGTTATTGATGTTAATTAGTAATGGTAGAAGAAGAAGATATACATAAAATGAACTTCGGGATGGTGTTAGTACTTTTACTAGTATTATCAAGAGTCGACAGAAACGTTGGAAGCTATGCCTAGTTTAGTAGTAGTAGTACACCAGTTGTTATGGGCATTGATTGCTTCGAATGTTTACTGTGATGGTGAGTTGAACAGTCCATCTGTGACAGGGGTTCTCAACTAGGCCTAGGCTAGACCTATATCGCAGTAGGGGAAAAAATGATTCATTGAATAAATACTGAATAAATTTTACACGACCTTGGCATTACCTTACAGACGCGTGTGAATGCTTTTTATCTCGGTAGGAATAACTCAGAAGATCGCTCGGTTACAATTTGTTACTTTTTGTTAAATTTAACTTCACGTGTGAATCGGGTATTAGTCACCATCACACTGTAGCATATTGGTTAACACACTCAATGTGTATTAATTATTTTTGATCCATACAACATATAGTAGGCCTGCTTTTTCCTTCAACAAGTAGGTCAAGTGCATGACCCTGGTTATTGAATGGGAATAATCTCGGATGTTTCAGCTGCCAGGCTGTAAAGTATTTTAATTGTGCAAATAACACTGCACTGTACCTCATCATCGTAACTACTGCATATACATTGGATATGAATTTTCCGCAAATCTGTGCGGAAATCAGCCCTTATTTTCCAAAATGCGCAAATAGATTTCTCGGCAGACCTGATTTTACAGTCTGGTTCAGCTGCAGAAGGTAAACAATTGCATTAAAAATCAATCATAAGCCTGCAACCAATAGATATACAGTATATTAATATTCACAAAAGTGATTTTTATGTTGTCACGTTGACCACGCTGTAATTGACTCTGAAATCACAAGGTACAATTAAGGCAGTGGCTACTGTTACACAGTTTTCAAAAATGCCTAATTCTGATTGGATGCTATTATCTTAATCCACAGGTGGGCCACAGTGGTGTATCTGGAAGTCTTGAAATGGGGGGGGGGAAACTGATGGGGTGGCGCAAAGGTGAAGTGGATGGGGGCTTGATGATCAGTTGAGGAGCGCTAATTCGCAAAATAAGGTGATTTTTAACTACTTGACAATTTCATATTTTTGCCCAAAAACATGATTTTTATGAAAAATCACAATAAGCATTGGGTTTCATTCATGCGAAAAGTTGTATAGCAAATATAAATATATGTGTCCTGAGCGATTTGGCATGAAAATTACCTCAATAGACCAAAGCTTTACAGAGATATGGCAATTTCATGTTTTTTTCAATAAATATATTAAAATTGAGGTCAAAGGTCACAGATGTCAAATCAGATTTCCAGTAACTTGGTTTTGGTATCCAAACATCATGCCCTATCACCATGCAAAAGGGCAATTTGTATCCACTAGTATAAATAACAAAACCCCATTTTTTGTAGGCTTTATAGGAACTGGACTAAATGGGAACTTTCGCCTAATGAAAATGAATTAAAAACCCTATGTGTGGATTGCCAAGCAATATTAGCTGGAAAACAACATTTTTTTTTTACGGCCCGACACCAATCATATATATCATCCAAACCCCCTGAACCCCCTGGATCCGCCACTGATATACAATTTTCTTTTATTCTTTGATTATTACACTGTACTCTAGGTTTCATCTTTGTAAAAATAAGTTTTAATGTACCGTCAGCACTTCGATCTCTTTTGTAACAGCGCTTTAGAAACTTGCTGCTTACTTGGACTCGAATTCAACCCTGGCCATCAGGCGCAAGCTCGGTGGTCTAGAGGTATGATGCCAGGCTAGTGATCTGGAGATCGTGGGTTCGAGTCCCACCCGAGAACTTGCGATTTTTTTTCGCAATTGTTTTCAAATGTACTGAGTATTTGGTACATTTCCAAGTCAGGTAGGGCAAAAATTACACCTATACATGTTTCTCCTGATGCAAATCCAGTTATTGTCTATTATTCCATCACAACAATAACAATTATTATCAATAATAACTTTACTGATAAAATAGTAACGAGTGGCCCTCAAATTATACGTACGTCATTTAAGTCCCCGTTAAGCAATTTCTCCTGACTGAATAATTTTCCTACTAGGCTAGCGTCGCTCATGCATTCGCGCGAACTACTGGGGTGAAGAACATCCGACTCAGTCGGATGTTCGGATTTATTAGGCCCTAGCTAGAAGCTAGCCTAGCTAACTTAACTAAGGAAATACACCAGAGATGCTAGCCTCTTTCATCATTGATCTAATTAATCATTTCTACAATACTATAATTATTAAAACACTTACTTTTTTAAAGAGGTCTGACCATTTATATAAGGACACGCCATTTTAAAATATTTCGTTTTTACTAAAGACGTTTATAACCTATCCTTCTACGATCGGTATTGTTTTGTCGATGATGTTTTATAGTAGCCGTATGATGCGTGAAACAACATTGCAGGATGACCACGTGTGGAACTAATGCTAGCCAATCAGATAAGCTCATTTAGCCGCACCTCCAATGATTGACTACTCCATTACGACCGCAGGGGGAAAAGGTTGTAGCGTCTGTGATTAAGACCTATTTATTAACTTTAATTTTTTTTACCACTGTGAGAATACGGTAGTCAAACGCCTATTAACATGGGAGTTGATCGGTTGGGGACAGGCTTTTAAAAGTAGGGGGGGGGGGGACATCATATCAATTTTCCCCCACTTTTCACCAATCTTTTATTGGAGCGGAAACAACACTGCAATTACGAATGACTGGATTAACACTTGAGGTCTCCCTGGTTTCGTTTGTTGCCATGCTTACATCATCGCAAATAGTAGTGCAATATTTTACGAATGCCCGCATAGGAGCCTTGGCCCTCGCAGAAGTCTGGTTACAAACTCAAAAGTGCACAATTTCCTAATTTCAAAAAAGTATAGAAGTCAATTGTGTGTTATATAGCCGTATTAAACAATAATTAGGCCTATACAGCCTTTGACACGGATGTCTGTCTATTTCGATTTATTTAAGTAGTGAAGTGATACCACAAGTTTACGAACTCCGCAGATGTTACCTAACGCAATCTCGCCATGACATCATAATAATGATAAATTAAGTAAATCCTTTATGTTTGTTCATATCAGTAACACAATACAACGTCATTTTCCTTAATACAATTTGAGGGGTGCGATCGCACCTTCCATAAACGAAACTGTCGTCAGAGCTTCTTTTTAAATCACTATATATTCATATTTATGAACTGCGCAGGGGTATTCAAGTTTTCAAGTGAATGATAATGTGCGTATTATTCGTTTATTTCTTCGTGTTTCCTTCAATTCTCTTGGTATTTTTTATCCAAACTCTGGAAGCTGCAAGGAAAATAAATATATTGTATAAAATGATCAGCTTAAATATTGAATGATTATTGTTTTAACTAAATTATGAAATAGATTTCAGATGGTAACAATATTGAATTCAATTAAAATAAAAGATACATTTTATTGACCATAATTATTAAAGTATAGTACCGTATATGAAAACGCGACAAAAAGAATAGCATGAAGCACATACTAAATTCCATTGTTTCAATTACAAGATCATGTTGCAATCATGAATATATCACCATAAATGGAAGAAAGAGAATATAGCAGAAAGATATTTTGTTAGTGGAAAGATAGCAAAACAATAATACTTAGGCCTATGATACTATGATAAACCGATTCACGAACTAAAATATATAGGGCCTAGGCATATTAAATTTTTCGTTTTCGCAACTCCTTCGGCGCTCCATATATTTGTTCGAAATATACCGCGACCGAAACGAAGCGCGACCGAAACAAAGCGCGACCGAAACGAAGCGCGACCGAAATGATCGGCTACCTTACGAATGACTGGATTAACACTTGAGGTCTCCCTGGTTTCGTTTGTTGCCATGTTTACATCATCGCAAATAGTAGTGCAATATTTTACGAATGCCCGCATAGGATCCTTGGCCCTCGCAGAGGTCTGGTTACAAAATCAAAAGTGCACAATTTCTATTTGACGATTTATTTCCTTCTGTATATTATTAAGACCCGTATATACTATAGAGTGTTCAGTATTTAATATTATCTGCATGCATAGATTCCTGTTTTTCCTAATTTCAAAAAAGTATAGAAGTCAATTGAGTGTTATATAGCCGTATTAAACAATAATTAGGCCTATACAGCCTTTGACACGGATGTCTGTCTATTTCGATTTATTTAAGTAGTGAAGTGATACCACAAGTTTACGAACTCCGCAGATGTTACCTAACGCAATCTCGCCATGACATCATAATAATGATAAATTAAGTAAATCCTTTATGTTTGTTCATATCAGTAACACAATACAACGTCATTTTCCTTAATACAATTTGAGGGGTGCGATCGCACCTTCCATAAACGAAACTGTCGTCAGAGCTTCTTTTTAAATCACATTTATTTGTAAATTTCTTTTCTCTGTTCACATTCATAAAGTGATTCTTCCTTCCTTAATGTATGTTTTCTCAAATTATAACTTTGAATTACCTTATTTCTACAATATTCACATTCAAAATTTAATGTTCACATCTTTCCCATGTGTGTCACTACTTAAGGGAAATTAAATTATGAAAATTAATTATGAAATGCAATTGTAAACGTTTGTTTTTAGATATTAAATTTTATACCAAACAATTAATTTATCTGAGAATAATTATTTTATTCCCTCATAAAACACTGTGCAATAGGAACAGTCTGAAATTGATTGTATTGTACATTAACTATAATTGAGAATGACCATCATAAGAATAAGCTTTAGTTTCAAGATCAAGGTTGTTAGAAACTGGTCTTAATATCTCCTTGCCTTGAAGAAACCTCCAGTCCGTCGATGAACATGTTTGCCTCTTTATTTTAAGTGTCAAATTTGCATGTGTTTTTGGTGTGCAGAACCGAGTTAGAGAACAATCTAATCTTACCACCAGAGGCGGATTCAAAATAATGAATAATATAGAGGGCAGCAATCATGTTTTATTAAATATCACGTTCACATTAAGCGATTTTAATGTTGACTCATAAGCGATCCACAATTTTGTTTAAAAGTTAATTGATAGGAATGATTTAATTATTTTGATATTGTCATTACATTATGAACAAAACATTTGAAGATAGTAATAATAATAATAATAATAATAATAATAATAATAATAATAATAATAATAATAATAATAATAATACTGTAATAATAATAATAATAATAATAATAATAATAATAATAATAATAATAATAATAACAATAATAATAAATATGAATACTTATATAGCGCACAATCTGCCTCAAAAAGAGTGTGCTTATGAAGACTGATTTGAACGTTATTTGCTAAAAAAAAAAACACGAGATCACGAAAACTTCATAATTTAAACTGTGTCACTCTATACAGTGCAGGCCCATTAGTTCCCCACCATTGGTCTGTGCCTCACTCCGCTACCTGCACCACTAAGGCTTCAGCTCTGACATAAAATCTTGAATAGAATTAAGTTCGAATTTTACATGATCTCATTACAGCTTCCGGGAAAGGACCTCCTTCCCCAAGCATTGCGAGTATTATGTATGTATGTAATTAGATGCTGATCAACGCAGCAAATTCAATCCCTGCTGTAAAAGGTGCATAGACAGCGGACAAGAGCGGAAAATGTATGTTGGGGCAATCTCATTCAAGACTTTAAACACGAGATTTGCAGCAATGTTTTTGAGTTTGCCTAATACTGTTGGCCTATTTAAGACCAAAGATAGCATTGCAGTTGTCAAGCTTTGACATAAGGAATTCAGTAGTGTGATAATTAAGGTTTCTAATTCTTCGATTATGTTATAAATGGAAAGTTGGATAGATGTTATAAATGGAAAGTTGTGCTGATTTGCAAACGGCATACAAATGTATGCTCTTATATCATATTGAGATTTTTGTCAAAGGTGGTGCCAATGTTTCAGAAAGGTGTGAAAGGTTCGATAAACTTTTAGATGGCCAGAATCAATTTTCGCAAGTTATTGCTTAGACCCAATGGTCATGAATTATTATAATTAATTACAATTTTCGTTAGTGTAACATTTAAATTAACGTGTTTAATAGGACTATTATAACAATAAACCATTTCGTAGTGCTCAGGATTATCAATTTTAAAATAAGATACGATCCGTGAATTTTAGTCTGCCGCCCTCTAGTTAGAATTTGTGTGGCACTTTCAAAATAGAAAATTCGCCGATATACTGAGTCTCAGAGAAACAGACTTTGTTAATTAAAATGGGATGTTACAACAAAGATTTGCGAAGGTATTGGAAGTTGAACACCTACTGTATTGCAGTAATTTGCTAAGTTTTCAGTCTAAAAATTGTTTTGTACAAAATTCGCTGGCTTGTTGGAGCCTAGGCCTAGCCTATAATAGGCCTAGGCTCGCTTCTCCTCACTGAGTAGCGCTGGAACTCGGATGACAAGTACTTCTGCCCCCAACAGATCCGGGTAGAGTAGCCCTATGCCTACCTTAGGCCTAGCTAATTATGTATCTTGTATACCACTGTGTATACCTTTACCTTCTGTAGTGTTATATGTCATTTTTGTTGATTTTGTAAATGTTGTCAATTTAATGTATTTTCACCATTTGTAAATTTTGCCTAGCGTAGGGGCTAGGCTAGCCTAATACTTACTAGGCCAGGCCTAGGCACTAGCTATCCTACTGTTCCACCTACCTGGATTTCGAGACTTAAAGCTTTAAAACTTTTGTGCCCCTCTTGATTGTCTTGTTAACCGTCTGCTGATTATTGGTGGCAGTCTGAACTGATCATCATTAAAAACAATCCTTTGCAAGCTCGCCGTGGCATTGAATTCTACATAGAATCGCATCGGCCAACGACCATTGGCCGCAGGGAGTGCCTGGCTTAACTGTAATCTTATTAAATATGTTTTTTTTTTTGAGAGGGTAGTGAGTCTGCAACCTTAATTCTTACTTTGGATGAACATGCTTTATTGTGTAATAATAATACTGTACTGTATACAATATAATTATCAGTAGAGGATAACCATTCTTTTTTATATATACAGGTTTATATTGATACAGCAGTTAAGTCAATATATAATTTGTATATCTGTTTTATAGCAAGCAACAATTTGAATACTATATTATTTACAACATTTCTTTTCATTATTCATATTTCGCTTAGGTGGCAATTCAATGGGTGAATATCGATGTGTTCTGCTTGCGACCGTCCTGAAAGTCCATAATTCAATTCCTTTTTATCCTTACTGCAAGCGATGCTACACCAAGCTGGTCTTTGACTCCAAGAAAAAAATGTAAGAAAAATACACATAATTTGCATATAATGGATCTTTCCAGAGTGTCAATCAAACTAAACAACTGACCAATCAGAATAGAGACAGAAAGATACACATAATGTTTTTGTTTATGTTTTACACTGTTGATTTGTGGGATCTTAACAACAATATCCAAGGGGCGGGGCTTAGACAAAAGGTCCATTGACTATATACCAATTTAATTCAATATGATTCTTCCTTGTTTGTTATGTGAGTTCAAAGGTCGCTCTTTTTTTTTCAGATGGAAGTGCAGTCAATGCTCAAATAGGATGAAGAACGTGGACGTTACGTATCGCTTTCGTCTTTCAATGTCTGTTGCCGACAGACGAGGTGTAGCTGATGTTTGCATCTTTGGACAGTGTTTGAACAACATTTTTGGATCAACTGCTGACAATTTTCAAAAGTAAATTTTCTTTAATGGTATTCTGAAAAAAAAATTCCATGTATAAGGCTCACAGTCTATCTTTACTTAAGTAACTAAAACAAAAATATAAAAGCAGTTACTTTGTTTTGCCACTGTTATTATTAAAACAAATTAATTTTACATCATTACAGCCAGATTTCTGTCTGTAATGATCTGAGAAACTAGCAGAACATAATTCAACAATTGATTTAGCTGCACACTATGTTAGTTTTCAATTGAAAAAACTGTTGTGTGCCTATATATGGTCATGATGTGATGTCATCATGACCATATTTAGGCTGTGGATACTTGTGTGGATACATAACCTCCTTTGCGGAGGTAGAAATCGTTGCCATTTTCCATAAGATACAAAGAAATCAAAACAATAAGACAAACACAAAAGCACAGAATCATATGACCGGACTCTGATTTGTGATAAAGTGTTCCTTCATTAGTGGAAAGAGAAGGGTGTGCCGCGTGTGTCTGGATTTACTTAGCAATAGAAGGGTGCCCTATGCGTCTGGACCAATTATTGAAAACTTGCGTTAATAAAAGAGAAGGGCGCCGTGTACGTCTGTACCTGTCTCTTATACACATCTAGATGTGTATAAGAGACAGGCAGTTAAGTCAATATATAATTTGTATATCTGTTTTATAGCAAGCAACAATTTGAATACTATATTATTTACAACATTTCTTTTCATTATTCATATTTCGCTTAGGTGGCAATTCAATGGGTGAATATCGATGTGTTCTGCTTGCGACCGTCCTGAAAGTCCATAATTCAATTCCTTTTTATCCTTACTGCAAGCGATGCTACACCAAGCTGGTCTTTGACTCCAAGAAAAAAATGTAAGAAAAATACACATAATTTGCATATAATGGATCTTTCCAGAGTGTCAATCAAACTAAACAACTGACCAATCAGAATAGAGACAGAAAGATACACATAATGTTTTTGTTTGTTTTACACTGTTGATTTGTGGGATCTTAGCAACAATATCCAAGGGGCGGGGCTTAATTCAATATGATTCTTCCTTGTTTGTTATATGAGTTCAAAGGTCGCTCTTTTTTTTTCAGATGGAAGTGCAGTCAATGCTCAAATAGGATGAAGGACGTGGACGTTACGTATCGCTTTCGTCTTTCAATGTCCGTTGCCGATAGACGAGGTGTGGCTGATGTTTGCATCTTTGGACAGTGTTTGAACAACATTTTTGGATCAACTGCTGACAATTTTCAAAAGTAAATTTTCTTAAATGGTATTCAGAAAAAAAAAATTCCATGTATAAGGCTCACAGTCTTTACTTAGGTAACTAAAACAAAAATATAAAAGCAGTTACTTTGTTTTGCCACTGTTATTATTAAAACAAATTTATTTACTCACAACCAGATTTCTGTCTGTAATGAAATTGGAGGGTATTAATTTACTGATTTAAATAGTAAAGATTATGGAAATTAGTGAAAGCTGATTATTTTAATCATATATCCCATTGAAACTTCTAATAATAATTCAATATTTTAATTGCATTTTTTAGAGTTTTGCAGATTTTTCCACCAACATATTCTATTAAACATTTATTTATATTTATGAATAAAGTATATTGTGTTGAAAATTGAAATTAAACCTCTATTTCTCATCAGGTATTTACAACATATTGAAGTTTCACACCCAGATATTGACGCGAACTTGCTTCTCCAATCTGCTGAAACTAATACCATTACTGGAAATCAGTTCTACTTTGGTTTTAAAGTGGCATGCAAGACAGGAATCAACATCAAAGGACTGGATGATCTTGTAGTGCATCACTCAGAAGACCACATGCCAAGGAGTATCGTAGCTTGTCAGGCTATCCAACCATTCCAAAGCTCTCAACATTTGACAGTTATTCAATATCTTAAACACTGGATCCACTGCCTTTCCAAAACAACAATTACAGATTCATGTTCAGCCGCATTATGCTGCTGTCACAACAACCATGGGATTGATGACAGAAAGCAGTCTCTTAGAAAGAGTTCTACTTTCATCTGTAGTGGCTCTTCTACAGAATCTAACAGTCAAAGGAAGTTGGCTACAAACTCTCTTGTATTAAGCTATGAAGAATCTCTTCAGGCTTCAAACAGTCAAGGCATTCATAGCCAGCCATTAACAGTATCGGTTGATGCAATAGAACATAGTCGTAGAGAAAGTTTGCAGTCACTTAGAGAATTTAATGAATCAGAGACAGTGTGGGAAGATGGTTTCCACTCTTGTAGCTCCAAAAATTGTGCTGAAAATCTTATTGATAGTTTTATGCATATAAATAACTTTACAAATCATGAAGACAATAAACCTGTTCGACAAATTGAAGACAACCAATCAAAAATAATCAGTTCTAATAGTATTAGGACGTGCCAGCAAAATTCTACATCCTCTGTTAAATCCAATGAATCCACAACCTTTCCTGATGATTTGCCATTCTCTGAGGACCTTGAACTTTTTCTTGAGAGAGTTGATGCCAGGCATGCTGAAGGAAATATTGGAAGTTCAAGTGGAAGTATGAATGCTAGAGAACTATCACTGAAGGTCAAAATAGAGGATTGTGCAGAACATCATTCGGTAGCTAATCCTGCGAAGTCTACAGAGACTCTGCAGACACCTTTGGGTGAAACTCTTGACAATGATGTTTCTGAGATAAGGGAACCAAATAACTTGAGGAACCAAACATATCTGAGTGAATTACCTTTCCCAGAAGACTTTGAATCATTTGTACAGCATTTAGAAAGTAAAAATGAAGGTGAAACAGCAGATTCATGTAAACGATCGCCATTATGCACACATGGAAATGTCATTGATTCTTCCAATGAAGAAAACCTTTCAAAGCTGCAATGCAGAAGAGATCCGAACAGAAGTTTGAAGAGACAGGTTGCAAACAATCTTACACATATTTCTGCTGGGATTGTGCATGAAACTTTACAAACTTGTAGGTTTTCAACACCTATACAAGTTCCAATAAGGACTGGATTTAGAAAAAATTGCAAAAGAAGATTACAACACCAACTTAAGACAGATCTTCCCACTGACAGACCACGACGAAATTCTCACTGCAACACGTCAAATACAGAGAAGGAAGCAAGTCATAAAAAGCTACTTAAGCATGCAAGCTGCCCACAAAACAGTGTTTTAGGAGATACCACAGATAGAAACTTACTAGAGTTGCCCAGTGATCTTCAAGTATTTAATAATTCTACATTTGAGTTATTTTCATCACAAAGTTTAATTTCTCCAATCAGTGTTAATGGAAATAGTAAAATTACATTAAAAAAGAGGACAAAATCACTTTCGAAGGATTTAATGGAGAGAAGGTTGCAGTCTAATGTGATTGAATCTCAAAGGAAATTGAGTCACAAATTGGATCTACTGAAAAGTGCAACTAAAAATTCTGGTCTCAGTCATTCAAATGTCTGCCAAACATTTGATGCCAAACCAGATGATCATAATACTTCGACACAGCAGTTATTTGATTCCTTCAGTGATGTGTCTTCACTTGTGTCGCCTAATCTAGAAACGAAAAACCAAATTCAGAATTTAGGCAAAGTATTTTCTCCAGTGAATAAACTTACGAGAAATTTTGGAAATTACCCAACAGAAGAAAATCAGAACGTTTTAACATTCCAAAAGTTTGCTGAAGATTTAAAAGATCTCGGTAGTATCAAAAACTGTGACAGTACCGTGACTTCAGGAATTATAGAACCTGTATCCAGTGTGGTTACAAGTTACCATAGTGCAGATCTTTTCTCGCAATCTTATTCACACCATAGCTGCAAAGTGTTGGAAAGTCGGCAGTTTTCCAGAACTCCCGATTTGTTTTCGTCTTGGAGTAATGATACTAGTCTTATGGTGAGCAATGATGACCATGCCAGCCAGAACAACCATGATAAATTTGATGGTAATTTAAGCATGCCATTATTTTCCAGTTTTGAGGACAGTGGTTAATTTGGAATTCACAAGGAATAAGACTTATTTTTGCAACTTTTTAAAGCTATTTATTAATATTCCTGAACTCTGTCTACACTATAGCATTTTATATGGCAAATACTTGACTGTGATATGACATACATGCCCATATATGGGCAAATAAGTCATATCTTTCCAAAAAAATATTGGTAATGTGAACATTATATTTTATTTAGAAAATTATGTACTGTACAGTACAACATATATTAAGAGAAACCTAATTACTGGGTATATTTTAAGATTATCAATGAAGATTTAAGCCGGGTACTCACTGCTCTATGAAGAACGCAACGCGACGTGCCGTGCGCGCAACAGATCGTTTTTAATGACGATCCATTCAGACTGCCACCGAAAATCAGCGGACGGCATCGCATCGTCTAGCACTCATGCGGCGGTCGTACGATGCAGCGAGTGTCTGAATTTAGTAAATAATAAACATAAATTAATTTAAATTTTGGATACCAGAATGTGTTTGAAACATTAGGGAATTTTCGATGCACGACGTTATCCATAACTTTAACGGATGACGTCATAATTTATTCATCTTACGTTACTAATTACGTTAATTTCAGGATTTTACGTGCTCGACGTACATTAGTTATGGGTTTGTGCATGCGTATTTCGATGTGTTTACAAAAGGGGCGAAGCTATCGCGCTGCATGTTGGGTACTAACGTTAAAGTTAACGTCATGCATTGAAATCTCCCTAATGTCTAGTAAAAACCACTCCGGGCTGGCCTATCTACCGCCTTACCTTGCCCGGTGGTCTAGTGAAAAATTAGCAAGGTATTTCCTTACTACCTTCGTATGAGCCTAAAAAAATATCATGGGCTAGTAAAACAGTCTATGGGCTAGTATTAAAATCTACTAAATTAGCCCAGTGGGCTAGTTACCAAAGAAAGTTAGAGCAAGGCCAGAATTACAAATTAATTACTTATATCAAACCAATAAAGACATCTATAAAATATTGAAATTTTTTTTTTTGGTGAAAATTATGTAATAACAAAATAAACTATATTTAATAGCAAAAATAAAAACTGAATGTTTTCTCTTTGATTTTATTTGGTAATCTGACAGGAGTACAGTTTGGCGATCGATTGAATAAAATCACATAATTCATACTACATGATACATTGTACTGTATGTTGAAAAACAATAATTTATGCAAGATATTCAGTGGCATATCTAGGAGTATTGAAATGGGTAGGGGGAGGACTGACTCAGACTGCATGCAAAGTTGAAGAGTGGGCTTGATAATTATTTGTCGGGGTGAGGGGAGAAAAAGATCGGAATGTAGCTTGCAAAATAAGGTGGTTTGAGGTGTTTTTTTACTACTTGAGCATAATTTCAATGGTGGACGACTGGGGTGCGAGTATTTATGTGTATAAGAGACAGAATATAAACTGAAGATGAAGGAATCGAGTTTCAAATATACTGTACAATCGCAATAGCTTGCCTCACTTCTTTGGAGCATGTTTCTTGCACAATCATAATTGTAGCAACTTTTTTTATAAAACACAACATAGCTTTATTTATACTGTGGCAAAAAAACAATAAACTTGCTAAAATTTTAGTTGGTATCATTGGACTGTGTAAATAATACTGAGTAGATTAATTTGTACTATATTGCATTTATAATTTTATGATTTAAAACAGATACAATGATTTGGACATGTTTTACTCTTGGCTACAACAATAAAACAGAGTTTAAAACATATATATTGCATTTATGATGACCTAAAACGACAATGAACGATCAAAACCGCACACGCAACTACTAGATTATACTAAAGCCTTGTTCGCACTGGATTTAAAAAATGGTAAATTTAACCAGGGTAACTTTAACCAAAGTCATGGGTACATTTCACCATTGTTAGATGATTTCACCATTGATAGATTATACTAAAGCCTTGTTCGCACTGGATTTAAAAAATGGTAAATTTAACCAGGGTAACTTTAACCAAAGTCATGGGTACATTTCACCATTGTTCGCACTTGGATTATTCACGCGGTTAGTTTTACCAAGATTTAACCTTGTGTATAAAAAATATTATTGAAGCGCATGCGTGAGGTACCGAAGGTCATGAACTCAGAAAGTTTTAACTGTGTTGCACATTCGAATTGGACTTCTTGACCAGCGTGGTTAGTTTAACCGAAACCGTGGTAAGTTTTACTGGGCAGGCTGAGGTCGGTAAAATTAACCATTCGGCTTGGTTAATTTAACCCTGAGGGAATTTTAACCGACATTCGGATTGGATTTTTTTTGGTCAATTTAGCCAGTGACTCGGTTAATTTTACCAAATTAAGTCCAGTGCGATAGGGGCTTAAGTGCGTGGTTGGCTGGGTTTTGGTCGGGAAAAGAAGTATTCTTGGTGTGATTCTCGAACAAGATAACAAAAGCTCTCTAATGACTCAAGCTACTATATGACCGTTTTTATATTTTTAATAAAACCAATTTCTTTTAACTTCAAATACTTTTTAACCTGAATTCATGATAATTTGTTATCACGTAGACTTGTGCTAAATGCGTGACAAATTTATGATCACGCATGCGCATCTGAAAAATGCGTGTTTCATCCAACATCACTTTAAAATGCAGGACCGTCCCGCACGATGTGAGACGGTTGGTAATTATGACCCCATAATCGGTCCAAATTTACGTTCCAGGATAAATCACTATAAAGCAATTCCGAAATCTACACAATCTTTGAATGTGTAATTAATTTTACAATTATTTTTTCTTTTAATAATTCATTGCATTGCATCGTCTTATAATGTTCATAATTTTCATAATTACAATGTAGAAATATCATACAAGTTAAAAACAGGTAATCCCTCATTTTTTTTTTCTAAATATACACATTCTTAATTTTAAAATGACACCAAATTTTCTTGAATCTTTAATTTATAATACAATTTCAGTTAAATGTTTCAATGTCTCATCAACACTTTGTAAATGCAAGTCATTGGCCGTATTCGACTGGTTGTTCTTTGTTGAACCACGCAGCAGTAAAATAATACTTAAAGAAGACGACCAGACTAAAAAACTGGTACATACTCGACGAAATAAAAAGGCTGCGTGGCTACTGCAATACACAGTAGCAAGCGAATCACGGTTGTTTCGGTTTGTGGCAGTACACGTTTTCCGTTAAAAAAAATGTGGGTAAAAACTATGAATATTTTCTGAAATTTAATCTAATTTATATTTATGCAAATGTAGTTGCAAAACTGACTAATCAGCTATGTTGGTTTTGGTCACATGGATAACTTATTGCAAATTAACACACTCTGGTTTACGTTAATTTCCATTGTCAACAAAGTCTGTTTTTACAAACCAGCCGAATGAAAATAATAATCAACGAAAAAGCGTTGTCAACGAAACGAACCAGTTGAATGGCCATTGTATTGAAAATATTGTAGTATTTACCTAGTATAGGACTAATAAACACCAATAAATACACTTGCTCTATAATTATTTGAAAAACAAAGCATTCAAATGTTTTTAAGGAATAGTTTATAGTTCAAGTTTAAACTTTTATACTCACAGCATTTAAAAATGTGTATTGATAGAGGTTAAAGGTTACAGTAACTTACATGTACAGGTCAAACTTGAACTACTGGTAAAAAAGATATATACTAATAAAATTGAATTCACATCACATCATGACTATATATGGATACACCATATTTTCCTGTCAAAAAAAAAATTGATAACTGGACAGAACTAATCTTACAAATTCTTCCAAAAAAATGCTGATAGATTTGTAAATTCAATTTGTCCTCATTTCAAAACTGAAACTGAAATAAATATTGAAACAGTCATAAAAATTATCTCTAACAAAAGCTTTGTCATGTTTTAAAATCTACTTAATAAAAATGAATGCACATCAAAATATTAAAACTTGTAGGTAAAAATTGAAAACAATTAAACAATTCATATAAAAAAACATATGTAAAATATCATCCTGCTCCTTCCTATAAATAAACGCACCCTGAAATAATATCATAAATAAAAGTAAATTCCACAGCATTTTGACGGCACCATTTTCAAAGTCTACCAAAAAACAACACATCTCGTTGAGGTAGCAACTATAGCTTAGATGTGGTAAGCCTCAGAAAAACATATTTTTTGGAAAGGCTAGAAATTAAGTTTGTAGCCTGTGATAACTACATGGGGTTTGTCTACTGGTCAGTTTGGAGGAGAGTGTTCAGGTGGAGTCAGGGGGCCAAGATCTGAAGCATTCATAATGTTTAATGCAAGAGTTTAATGCGGCTGTTTTAAACGGAGGGAATTTGCCCAAAAAGGTAGTACAGCCCAACCATAAAGAGTACCCCGTTGAAGGCCTGAGAATACCTTCTATCAAGCCCTTTAATGACAAATGAAAACTCTGCTTACATTAGTTTCAATATTTTAGGAACAATGGCAATTAGTTGGTTTATCCAGGTAAGTATTCACGAAATAGACTCATTATTTTAGATCCTCTCTTGGATCTCAGATCCTCAAAAAGCTTAAAGTCAGGCTCTGGAAGGGAAAAAAAATTTGATATGTATAGAACTGATTTTTCTAAAACACAAAAAGCATATTTGACGAAAAAGTTCGGGAACGGTCAATGAGATACAGGTTTAGGAATATTTAAAATCATGGGGAAAAAAGGGAGAAACTACTGTATCCTTTTTTTCTTTTCATCATTCAAACTTATTAGTTTGTGCACATCCATTAATTATCTATGAAAATTATTGAAATTTATTTGTTTGTGTAGAGCTTGTGATTAAGGCAAACAGAAATCCTGATTATAGTGATTTGGCCCAGTTCCAGAAGATTTAAAATAGTGTAAAGTTATTAAATTCTTTTTCACCTTTTTATTTATTATTATTTAAATTATTACTATTATTATTATTGGTGGTGGAAAATGAAGCTCTAAAATTACTTATGGATTTATAAAATTATTTATATGTTAATAATAGACGTACAGTACAATTAAAAAAAAATTCACTTAATCTCATCAAAAAATAAACAAAAAAACCCTCAAAATTTAGTATGCTACATTTTATGGGGTTTTCCTTTCTGGTTCACTAATGAAAAAAAAACAAAACAAAAAAAACACAAAATTAATAATTAAGATATTTGAAAGTCAAAAATCTACTACAATAATATTGCTAGGGGTCAATGCACTTTTAAAATAAATATTGGCAAATATGGACATGGTAAAAATATTGCACTCAAGAAACATGCAGCATACAGTGTCATATCAGGTCATACCTCTGTACTTTGAACGTTTGTAGAGTTATTAGGGTAGTTAAAATTACCATTTATTGCAAAATCAAATTTAAATAAATTGAAAGAATGTTCAGTTCAATGATAAACAATAATGAAATCAAATAGAATTATATAAATATTTTAAAAAAAATTATATACTAGCAAAATTTCACACACTTGTGTTATTCGTTATCAAATATTAAGTACAACAAGGGAAGATCATACTAAATTTGATTATATCGTAACGGCCATGCAATTTCATATGGCAACGCGAACCAACTAGAAGCAATTTTGTTGAAGTGAATGTAGCTGGAAGTATACCACTGTTAAGAGCTATTCAGACTTGAAATTATATTTGACAAAAACATGTGAGGTGCCTATAATATATATAATGCTCATGATGATATCACATCATGACTATATATGGATACATCATGGCTATATATGGACACATCATTACTATATATGGGCACATCATGACTATATATGGGCACATCATGACTATATATGGGCACATCATGACCATATATAGTCACATCAGTTTCTTGTCAAAGTAAATTTGATAGTCTGGACAGATTTAGGGACAAGCAGTTTTACAAGGGACCATTTAAACACCATGTCACCTTGGAAACATACATGTTTAGCCAAGCATATCAAATGAAATTGAACACTGCCCTCTATCTACAGCAGCCGGTGACACTGTGATGTTCCTTGATAGGTACCTCCTCCGAGTCGGTCTTTATCTCTACGTTCCTCACGGTATTCGTCAACTCCACGGCGATGTCTATGAAGAGTTTGTCTACGTTTTCTGCTTCTTTCGCTGATGTTTCCAAAAACTGTATTCTCTTTTCGTCAGCAAACACTTGACCTTCTTCAGATTTGACCTCCCTCTCTGACACAAGGTCAGTCTTATTCCCTAAATAGGGAAAAGAAAAAATTATAAAATTGGCAGGGGGGGGGGGAGGGAGGGGGACATAATCTACTAAAAAGAAGTTCATATAAACAAAATAAAATTAAGGAAAGTAAATGTGTAGTAAATTTTTGCATTAAAATAATATAGTTACCAACTAAAACGGTAATTATCTTTGGACTTGCATATGTCTCCACCTCTTTCATCCATTCCGGTAAGGCATTGTAACTTTCACGTGACGTAACGTCGTAGACCATAACAAGGGCGTCGGCACTATGATAGTAGCTTTGAGTGATTGAGCGGAAGCGTTCCTGTCCGGCAGTATCCCAAACCTGTAGCTGCAATAGCAAATACACAGTCTGACACAAGTATCTAGAGCTCTGTTCACACTACCAAATGTTCTTACTGTTGTATGCCCATATATAGTAATGATGTGCCCATATATGGTCATGATGTGTCCATATATAGTCATGATGTGTCCGTATATAGTCATGATGTGTCCATATATAGTCATAATGCACCCATATATATTAGCCATGATGTGTCCATATATGGTCATGATGTGCCTATATATAGTCAAGATGTGTCCATATATAGTCATGATGTGCACATATAGTCATGATGTACCCATATATAGTAATGATGTGTCCATATATAGCCATGATGTATCCATATATAGTCATGATGTGCCTATATGGTCATGATGTGATGTCACCATTACCATATTCAGGCACGTCAACTGTTTTTGTGAAATACTGATGCTAAACTGACTCAATAAATCTAAAGATTTGTCCAAATTTTATTTTACAAAAAACTGTGTTGTATGCCCATATATAGTCATGAGGTGTCCATACATAGTCATGATGTGTGATATATATATATATATAATATATATAGCAAAGATAAGCTAAACTGTGTTCACCAGTAAAATAAGAGTTATAAAATGGTAAAAGAATCATTTACATCCGACATTTCCATAAGAAGTTACAAGCATTTAAACATACAGCTGTTTAAAGAACACTATTTGGGAAATCAGCCTTTTTCAGGCATTTCTCAGGCAGAAACCATCACAAAATCGTTAAATATTAATGTTTTCACAGTGAAAATGGTGAAAATAACAGCATAGCATGTTGTATAGATATATAAAGGTCAGTTTAGTGCAATCAAATAGATTCCAAAAAATGGTAAAAGTCGGCTAAGATACTCATTCAAATTATATACCCTGGGCCTATGCCGAGGAAAAGCTGGTATGTAAAATTGGATGTAAAACAGGGAGTGGGCTAACACGTGATGTTGCCCGCTTGTGTCTTACACCCGAGAAACAATGATATTAATTTTATTTCCGATCAGTGGCTTGTACTTACTTTTACCCTGTCTCCTCCAATTTGAAGTGTTTTTATCATGAAATCTACACCTATTGTTGCTCCTTGACCAGGTGGGAACAAACCCTGAAAAATGATATCAAAATATTATCCCTAACATCCTCTTAAAGTAATCATGAAACATAGTATCCATGAAAAAGATCACTACTGTATTTTTAATATTTTACCATTTCATTTTCATTTCATTTCTTTTAGGCACGAGCACCAAGGATATGCCAATCAGCGAACTTAATCACTATACTACGTGGCATATCCATTAAATTAAACTGGGGACTGAATGGACCAGTACACCGGGGTAGCCCCCTACTCTTCTTAAACTGGGTTCTTTAAAGTGCACTCGAACCAAGTGGTAACACTGGGCCTACGGTTTAAAGTCCTTATCCGAGAAGACTTGTTTCACCACTGGAAATGAGCCGTTCGAACCAGCGCTGATATTACAGCTGAAAGTTACGTGCCCCTGACTTAACTGCTCGGCCAATCAACTCACCATAAGTGGATTGGCCATATTGTTAGTAGAACATCATCTTGTCATCCTTCATTTTGATGTCACCATTGTCTTAGTCATTGTCATCCTCATCATTACAGTCACCACCATCCTTACATTCATCATCATCATTGTTACCATTATCATCAATATTAACATTATTATTATTATTAGTCATCATCATTGTTGCTATCATCACTTTAACCACCATCATCATCCTCATTAACATCTATGTTGTCCAACGGCATATCTAGTAATGGCTGGGGGAAAAAGCTTTTTAATTCTTTTTTTTTCTATTTGGGTTAGTGTGCTTCCGAATGCACCCCTAGATAGCTATAGCCCCCCCCCGTCGGGGAAGACGATAAAATTTTGTCGGGAAACAAACAAATAAAAAAAATAATAATTACATGTAATATTCGTTAGCCACCATATCGTTTGTGTTAACTTTTCATCACAACAACCACAATAACAATAATAATAATAATAATAATAATAATAATAATAATAATTCAATGAGACTAATTAAAAATAATTTGCGTTCTGTTATGACAAATGCTCATTTAGATAGCCTCATGATGGTTGGAATACGGCGGGCCTTTAGCCCCTCTGTTGGGCAGGTCCTGGCGCTACCCCTGCCCCTAGATATACCACCGACGTCATCACTGCCACTGTCACTTTTTTCATCATCCTTTACATTACCATTATCGTTGTAACCATTCCATTCTTACCGTCATCAATGTTATCATCCATCATCATCATTGTCATCATTATGTACGATACCATCATCTTCATCATCTAATATAATTATTACTTTTGTTGTATACACAGTGTATCCAGTCCCTATATGATAATTGTTACCATGTACATTATCATCATCATTGTTCGCCATCATCACCATGTTACATTATCATCACACAGTTACCATTATCACAATCATTCATATAATCCTCGTCATAATTTTCATGCTCACCATCATCATAGAAAACATAATTGTTACCACCAGCATTCATCATTAACCTGGCACCATCAGCACACCCCATTAGTACTAGGCCTGTATAGAAATTACCACCTTCTTCAATTTGCATACAGCATGACACCCACCTGGGTAAACCTTCTCACTAAGCATGTTTTACCAACACCAGCATTTCCGATGAGAACTATTTTGAATAAATATTTATAGTCTTCCATTTCCAGCCCAAAAGGGGACTATGGTCGTCGTATGCAGTCCACTCCTGAAGAAATAGTTTACATACATAATGCAGGGAGGCATATACATAATACTGGAAAGCCAACAAAATAATATTTTGTCAATTGGAATGCCTAATTAATTGAAGGAACAGAAACCACACCTTGTTCACAGCGAGAGAAACTAATGCTATGACATCGTATATGACAATTGCTATGATAGACTGTTACACACATATATTGAGAATAGTTTAAAATACTGGAAGATATGATACAGAAATACTGTACAAGATTTCACTAGGTCCATTCTAACGTACCTAACCTAATACGTACGTTTGGAGATGAGACTTGAATTGAAGCAATTAATAAAGCAGTGGGTTGGGCACACAAGTGGAGACGAACACAACGATAAGAATAAGGGCTAATTTCATCATAAAATCTTTCAAACTTACTATTGCAAACGTCTACAAATGTTGCTGAATATCATTAGAATGTGAATAGGCAACCACATATAAAAATTGGGCCACTTTCGATGCCTATACTTAGTACAAATTGTGTATTATACCCTGTCGGCTGATGTCAAAGTTAAAACAAAAACAAATGAATTGCGCCCTCTCTAATTGAACAGTACATCTCTGCTGTTAGCCTTCCGTGCCCACGGTAGGCCTACGTGCCCGTGGGTAGCGCCAGGATTTACCCGACAGGAGTGGGGTTGGGGTTATGTCCCCGACTCCCGGGTACTAAAAATATATATTTTTATCTAGTTTTGGAAACGATTATGATAATGGTTAATGGTTTTAAATTCATAAAGCGCATAATAGAAAGTCTCAGCTTTAAAAACAAATAGTGATGTTTGGAAATGAGAAATAAGAGAACTACAAATACAATATACGTTCATAAAAATATTTTATTTTTATATATAAAGTGTTTTTAAATAATAAAATCCAGATACAGTATGTATATTTCATTATATTTCAAGTTCTTCATATGATTTTTGAGAGTTGAATTTATTAGGTTACCTCTATGATTAACAACTCAAATTTCATCCTTACATTCAGTCCAGATAATAAGTATTATATTTTAAACAATTTTCATTTTATGTATAGTTTATAAGACTACTACTTACAAAACAAGACTTTTTTATACCTTGTTTAGTGAACCCACCGCCTGCCAATGACGATGATTTCAAATAAAAATAAAATGTCATTTTTGGCCAATTAGCACACCCACCGCCGTGAAAAAATGGAAATTTCAGATAAAATATAAGTTTTTCTTTATTTTTATTACACTGCCTTGAAATCACCAAAAATATGATATGTATATTTCTTCCTAATTATATAAATTCAAAGCATTTAACCATCCCATTTATACTATACTGTTTACACTAACCAATAAAATGTTTTTTCTTTTTCCCATCCATCTGGATGTTTTTTTGGCAAAACTACTTGCTAAATAAGAAAACAACATTTTATTTTTATTTCCGCAACAAAATGTCGCAAAACAAGGTATATAAAGTCTTGCCATACAAATACAATATGCTATTTCATAGTCTGAACTGATGCCCGTATCATCCAAAAATCAATCAACGTACATAAAACATGTTGTGTACGTTTATGGCGGCTGACCTTGACATGGACATGCGTAGTTCAGATTACGGAATAGTTTATTATTGTATATGACTGTAATTAAATGAATGATGATTGAATTGAATTATTAGTAGCTCTATCATTATAACACGAGCACCGAATTAAATAGAAAAAAGTGATAATTAATGCTAGTTCCAGTTCTGATTTTAGTAGTCAAGATTTAATTTTGTACTTCAAAAAAGACAACCTAAGCCATTTTGGCATTAAGGGAATGTTCAGCCTACAGACACAATAAAATCTTAAGGCACCAAGGATGAGTATGAGTGTGATACTGTTATTGTACCTAGGCCTAAATTTAAATTTATTTCACAATAAAAACCAATAATTATACCATCAACATTAAACATGTTCACATTGTTTGGTACAAATTTACCACGTACATGTCACTTGAACAAAAAGTTAAGTATTGGTGTAATTTATACCCCCTCAGACCACGGAGGCCCGTCACTGGTCAGAAGTCAAATCCAGCTATTGCATCATCCTCAACAGTGGGCTTTCGTAACTTGTGAGCACTGATCTCTACTGTAATAGCTTTTATAGTAGAGATCAGTGCTTGTGAATTGCAGCAGGAAATCGGTATATAAAATGATAGAAACCACTGTTTACCGAACAATTAATTGTTCTTTTCTTACAAGTCATAAAAATTCATACAATATTTTAAAATTTATATATTGAATAACTACATTACAGTCAATGCATTAATATATCTTAATTTGTAAGACAATATCATGTTTTTTTTTTTTACATATGTACAAATAGCGCAAAACAGTATCATTATAATATTAATATATACATGTTAAAAAAAATGTATCATGATTATTAAAATAATATACTGCCTGTAATAGAACTTAAAACAAAAAAGAAAAACTTAAAAAACTCAAAATATAGTTTTCACTCATTTACATTTTACTTTAAAAAATCCTTAAACTGATCAACAGTAGGCTAAATTGGAAAATTTAATAAAAAAAAAAACAAACTGTTGTATGCCCATTATACGGTCATAATGTGCCTATATATGGTATGACCATATTTAGCCGTGTCACTTTTTTTTTTTTGAAAATAAAATTTGATAGTTTAGACTGGGCTTTAAGCTTGAAGGGACACCCTCTAAAAATATGATATAAAAACACAACACATTTTCTGATTTAAACAAACTGTAGCACCTATTAAAACAGCGTAATTTAAAAATCAAACTACAATGCTTTCAAATAACTCAAATTACTTTAACTTATTGCAGACATGCACTGACAGTAAGGTAGACTGGATTTCAGTCTTAATCAGTGAAACCTATTAAAAATAAATCGATTTTGGCACCAATGGCGTTCCATATTACTTCTTTGCACCAATGGCATTCCATACTATACTTGTAGTATAAATAGACGCTCTTGGTGCTCTCCAAAAGTATCAAAATTAGAGTCTAACAGTGAAGTTCAACATTAATTATACTTTGAGTTGAAATAATCCTATTCAAGATTTGCTTATGGTTGCCTATGCACGGTTATAAAATAGGCTCGTTTTCCATGTACAGTAATTGATTAATATGCACCATAATATTCCAGATAGAAATCACCACCAACATCATTAGTTCAAGTAATGTTTCAAGTGGATGCTTAAAGGTCCCAAGTCTCCAGGAAATCAGAACAGTCTCTCACACTCTTCCAAAGAAAGTTCTCCTGGAACATAACCTTCCACAAATTCATAATAATTGGTATGTTTTTACTTCTTTATTGTCAAATTGACTCTAGGAAAACAGTGCCGATGGATGATGATATGCACAGCATAAATATGAGCTAAGAAAGACCAGATTAACCAGGATCTTCCGGAAGTCATGACTTCTTCTAACAGATTCCAGGATTTGAACCCAGGATCACAAAACAACTCCACTCCATAAGCAGAATGTGTATGTCGTTTGAATACTCCTTTGCTCAAAATCTCTGGAATAAACTCCCCTTGGATGTTCGAACTGCTCCTTCGGTCTGTTCCTTCAAGTTCTATCTCAAGACATTCCTCTTTCACCAACATTTCGATTAATTTTTCAAATGTTTTTCCATCTTTTTATTTTTGACTTTGAATTGCCTTTTTATTGCTCTGCTTTTTATTTTTCTCTAATTTTTCTGGAATGCGCATAGAGGATCTAGCAGTGTGCGCTATACAAGAACAATTAATAATAATACATGTGAAGGGATTGCCACCTATCTAATAGGAAAGTACTGTAATTAAGTCGCTATTGATGTAAAGAAATACAATTTTAAAAAAGTAAATAAAAATTTAAAAAGAGATTTGCATAATATCTGGCTGAAAAACTTATTACTCCCTCTATGGTATTGTATTATGTACTTGTTTCAACAAATAAAACTGAAACTAGATAAGATTTAAAAAAAGTACTTCCACGAACATGCTTGTTTCCACGATACTAAAACTCAACAACTGTTTCTTGGATGTGATTCCAGCGTTGTGCATCCTACTGCAATTGAACTTTCTTGCATGTCAATCAAATTTAACAACCGACCAATCAGAACAGAGCCAGGAATACGAGTGCGTCTTACAAACACACGTGTTGTCCCAGAGATGCATGTGTTCACGTATGTGTTTACAAATTTCGTTTTGCAGGACCTTATCAACAATGTCCAAGAGGCGGGGTTTAGCGAAAGATTCCATTGTGTTGCAACACAATTGTTGCCATGTGTCTTTGTAGTAATGCAACAGTGTTCCTGAAGATTTCCTTGTATCCATTCAGACTGCACCTGTTGTTCTACATTTGTAATTCCCTCTCAGCTTTGAAGTGTTCTGAAATGGAAGATATATATTGTAAAAATAATGTTTAATGCAACTTGCGTTATCTTATATTAAAGATGTAACAAACGTAAAAATGAAAAAACATGATCAGTAATTGCAATAATTTTATATATAATTAACAGAATACTTACAAATACATGTTATTAAATTATACAATTTTGCAGTCTTTACTCTAGACTGGTATATGTATACATTATGTCTACAATTAAAATATTATTTCAATTTGTAAATATACATTTGAATTGTAAATACATATATAATTTTTTTGTACAATTCCATAATTTTAAAAATTCATACTTTTGTAAATGTAATAATTTTAGCCATTGGCTACTTTTGTATTCTTTTATACCTTAATAATAAAATGAAATAAATAAAGTCAGATATATGTCCTAGTCTTGACCATTCCAGAGTAAATTTGATAATCTGTTTCCATAAAACTTCTACAAATGGATACTTTGTTTGAAGCAAGAAAACAAGTTTGTACTGAAAATTATATTTAAATTATGTTTCAAATGCAAATCTTAATAATAAACTATTGAGTTTGGAGTCTTTGGAAGCTGTTTTCTCAAAACCTACATGACTGATATCCAATTTATTAAAGATTAAAAACTTTCTAATATTCTATACCAAAAAAAATTCATTAGCCGGTCACATATAACATAGATTGTGATAGCTTAAAGTAGTAAGTACTTACTCTTAATAGCAGCAATTTCATCTTCTGCTTCGGAATCTGTATCAACATGTTTCTTTGATCTAAAATTTCAAATGAAAATAATTTAATTAAATAATTATTTAAATATACTTTTTATAACAATAATAACTAGAGCAGTCATTCCTTAGAATGCATACCTCTACCCTGTGTCTGAATAACAATACGCAGGCAGTGTATAATGGGCTATTCCATTATATTCTTGTATGCTGGGGTAAAAAATTGAGGCTATGTTCTCACACGGCAGCTAACGGTTAGCAGGATCCACATTCTGCTAACCGTTAGCTGCCATGCGTCCATCCGAGAAAATTTCGATCCGGATACCAACAAAACAATATGATGATCGAATCACTGGCCAATAAGAAACTGGAAATTGTAAACGCGTACGTGTGATTGGTTGATGATAGAAACCGATAGCGCTTGCTAACCGTTTGCGTATCAGGATACCGCTAACGGTTAGCGCTAACCGATTGGGCGTTCTCATGCAGGTGCTAACGGTCAGCGCTAAAGGTTAGATCCCGATCCGGATACTAGGGCTCTCGTGAGAACCAGGCTTACATGTATTCTTATTCTTATTCTTTTATTTCCAATTAAAACATACAAAACACATAAAATCAACTGGGTGAGCTGGATGGAAACACTAAAGCGAACTTAATCACTGTGACTAATGTCAGTGTTTCCCACTCACCCAGTTTCACATAAAATAAATACTATATACAAGATAAAC